AACCAAGTCACACCAACCAGGGCTCTACTGAAACAGTTTTGTTATGCAATTGTTATACCTCATTTCCTACTACAAAGGATCAGCACTAACATCCTACGTTAAAACATAAAATACAGTAACACTAAGACTCTGAAGAATCACAGGCATTTCTAAAACTGGAAAAGAGACAGGGTTAGAAAACTACATTCAGGCTCAGCCAGAGCAAACCTTCCTAACAGGTTTTCCAAGGGCAAACCAGGAGCCAACCCCCACCCCAAACACATATACACACACTGAGTACACTCTCTTTACACATGAAAAACCAGCTACTCAGAAGTTAGACTCTGGCAAAGTATATTGGCAGAACTTTCTGAGGTCTCCATTGGAGCAGCCAGAAGGATGGTTAGGGAAGAGTCAAATCAGCTTACACACCAACCCTCATTTCAAGACTAAGAACATGTGTTTCTGAAGTCTTCCAAATAGTATGGTTCTGACTAGTCACAAACTTACACTTCTTGCAAAAACAGGGGGAAATACTGCTTTCCATTTTTTCCCTAGTCCATACCAGTGAACTAAGCAATAAAAGTCAAATTGGGTGAAAATTTTAGAACATTCTAGTCATTTATAATTGCATATCTTAGAGGTATTTTCTTATAAGTACTCTCTCTTAAAGGGCAGCAGTACCACAGTTCAGTTATCAGTTGCTTCTCTGCAAGCATTAAGAACTAAAAATAAACCTGGAAAGACAAATAGTCAATCAATTCTGGGAAATAAGACTGTTAGAGGAAATGCAAGGATCTCACAATATATCAAACTAGAATTCCTACCTAGGCAAATAATTGAGAATATGGGGGGGTGGGGGGATGAATTTCAGAAAAATAATAGAGGAGTCAAAGTAAAAGATACTGATCACAGCCAAGTCTTGATTATAGGAACATGACCGTTAGGCACATAGCCCTTGGCTTTTTGTTTCTCAATAGCTTTATTCTGAGAACTTCAGAACTCATTCTAAAAGGAAGCAAGATGCTGAACCACAAAATCCAATCAATTACTATCCTTGTAACTTTGGGAAAAGGTTTTGTGGGGAAAGTGGACAGAGAAAAGAGGAATAACCAAAATTCACTGCTGGGTCTGTAAAATTCATTTAACCTGAACCTACTCTGGGGGAGGAGAGAGGAGAAAAGGAATCCAGTGGCCACCTGGGTTGGATGTCCTACCTGCTCAAGTTGCCTCTGAGTGACCCCTGTGTTTGTACAAACGTAACTGTCCCTCTCCAAGCAGGCATTCTCCCACAAGCGTGCATTCTCCTCCTGCCTCTCCTGCATTGAAAAAAAGGAAATCTAACATTATGCAATTGCCCGTTTCTCTCCGTTTAAAGTTAGGCATACTACAATCCTCATTAAAGGGAGAACTTAGTGCAACATGACAAGTAACAAATTAGAATCTAAAGGCTGAACATTCTCATCACAGACCTCCAGAGGCAAAGAAACAGCTTCCCTGACTCAGTGGCACACCCACCAAGCACTGCTATTTACCAAGGAAGCCCCTGACAGTCCCCTGTGTCATTTGGTGTAATTTCTCTCTAGAGCAGGGGTCCTCAAACTTTTTAAACAGGGGGCCAGTTCACTGTCCCTCAGACCGTTGGAGGGCCGGACTATAGTTTAAAAAAAAAAACTATGAACAAATTCCTATGCACACTGCACATATCTTATTTTGAAGTAAAAAAACAAAACGGGAACAAATACAATATTTGTATTTGCATGTGGCCCGCGGGCCGTAGTTTGAGGACCCTTGCTCTAGAGCGTCAAGAAAACACTGATGTTCTATTTTCAGCTGGATTTACCTTACTCTCCTCAGGCCAGAATAAAAGGAGAAGGTGGATGTGGACTGGCCTCTATCCTCAAAAGATCCACCAGATAGATGGTCTTACCCTTATGATCACAAACCCTATGACACAAACCCTATGATATTAGTCCATCCCTCACCCAAATCATCTGTGTTTAAGAAAGCCAAACAAAAGGGAGTCTTTATAGTTCTGACTCACTCCAAGGCTCATCGAGAGCCTCGGGAAGAATAAATGAGCTTCATCTCAGAGAAATTAACTTATATACAGTTGACTCTCAACAATGCAGGGGTGAGGGACCCTAACACACACACCCCCCTCCCCAGTGAACTCAAAAATCTGATTATAACTTTTGACTCCCCCAAAACTTAGCTACTAATAGTCTACTGTTGACCCAAAGCCTAGATAACATAAAGTCAACACATACTATGTATGATACATGTATTACATACTGTATTCTTATAATACAGTAAGCTAGAGAAAACATCATTAAGAAAATCATAAGGAAGAGCAAATATAGTCACAGTATTTACTGAAAAAAAAATTCATGTATAATTGGACCCTCACAGTTCAAACCCGTGTTGTTCAAGGGTAAACTGTATAACCTTTGAAAAACAAAGTACAAATGTGAGTAGATGCATGGGCTTTGTTTTGGTTTGCCTTTTTTTTTAAGAAAAAAAACACAAAAAGCAAAAATCCAATGAGGCCAATTTATTTCCCATACCAAAAAGTAGAGGTGCAATGGAGAGTAGGTTAGATTGTCAAGTTCAAGTGACAGTGAAACACCCATATTTTAAATAGCACTGTATATGGAACAAGACACAAACTTTTGTGTGAGCACTGAAGGAGTAACATAACGCCTAACCCTGCCCGGAACAGGGAGAGCCCCTCATTTAAAAGGCAGTCACCCAACTGGCAGGAATGTTTCTTGTCTCCTGGCTCAGATTACCCCAGAGGAAGGTAGGGTAGTGCTATATAAATCAGTCACGTTCTCAACAGGAAGCTCCTACAACATTTTCCTGTTTTCTATGCAGTTATCCTTCCACCTGACTGATCCTCCCCACCCCCAACCCCTGCCCTCTGGTTACCCTTACAGGTAGCTGAGAGAAGGTCCAAAAGTTGCCACTGTTTCAGAAATAAGGAAGATACAACCACTTCTTCTACAAATGAAAAATAAGTTTAAGAAGAGAAGAAAATGGTAAACTAGAATAAATTAAGTTTGGCTTCTCTAAAGAACATACAAGTACATTGTGCTCTGAGTTAACAAAGATTCCTTTTCCCAAAAAAAAAACAAGCCTACAGGCTCTACCATGTAAATACTATAACTCATAATTTCTTTTTCCATTACTCTGGAATCTGAGTAACTTTAACTAAAGCTTAGTTACTGAATACTACATCAATGCTGTTTTCATAGCTTTTCAACCTTTACATAGATTTTGTTTCCTTAAGTTTTGCTACTTCTCATTTTAGACATTTAATGAACACTGAACCCTTAAGTGTGAGAGGGAAAAAGTAATAAACAAATTTTAATTTAATAGGCTTTAAGGTAGGAACAAACAAACCAGGAAGCAGAAGTAGAGTTAACTCTGACAACCCGCCTTCCAAGCATTGTGCCTGATCACTGACTAGTTGTATAACCTTCAACAAATCCCTTGGACTTCCTGGTCTTCAGTTAACCATCTGTAAAATGGGGAGGATGGGCCAAATGATTTTTACTCAAACTTCCTTCTAGCTCCAACAATCAATGAATATGCTTAGCACCAAGAAAATACAATCACAAATAGACTTTATGGTTTACAAAGTACTCACACAATTTTGCAGCAAAGATGTGAGGCAAGTATTGTGCCCATCTCTGCAGAAGGAAGTTTTTTGGAAAGACATTTGAGAAAAAGGTTCAATTATTTTTCAAGATTCCCATACCTGGAAAATTTAAGCCCAGACCTTCTGAGAACAAATTCTTTAGTGTATCATGATTTCAAAATTATTTTTCAGAAAATTACTTTTAATTAAATTATTTCAGAAATTAATTTAAGTAAGGTAAAATTCAAAGATAATTGCCTGCTATGCAAGACCTTCATGGGGGCATCAGGATATCATAGCACCAAACCAGGAAAGTTTACTACAAAAGGCCCCATTGCACAGAAGTTCCTTGAGGCAGGAACACACTGTAATTATCATTGGGAAACACAGAATCCAAGAGCATGCCTTCCAGATAGAAGCACTCACTAAATACTGTTTGACTTACCACAACTCTCAAAAGGTTAGGAATACAGTGATATTACGGGGGCAGAGGGGTCTGAATTTGAGATATGAACTTCTGTGATTTGAGTCAAAAGGAAGAACAGAGCTCTAACTCTTTATTAATGGGGATGAGTCTATTTGTCTTCCTCAGAGAAAGTCCAATTTGGTCAGTGAGCCAAATTTGAGATAGCATGAGAAAATCTTCAAACTGTTCATATTTTATACTAGAGGCCCAATGCACGAAATTCGTGCAAGGGGCTGGGCCCTCGAAGCCGCGGTGGCTTGCCTTGGCTCTCACGTCCAGAAGGACATCCGGAAGGTTGTTCGGCTGTCCAGTCTAATTAGCATATTACGCTTTTATTATTATAGATGTGCACTGATGTGGACCAACAGAAATGATAATACAACAGTGAGGACTGACGGAAACACATAATCATGTTATCATTAATCACTATATATTTTCCTCTAAATGGGAAAGATTTGGGAAATCTGTACTCTCATACTGTTCTAACTCTTCTCATGCTCCTGTTTCACAGCTCAAAGAGATAGAGAATAGGAATTTATTTCAAAATTCAAACTTGAAAATACATTATCTCTGAACTCATAGTCAACCAAGATCCCCCAACGTCTACTGAATTGCTAATCTCAAGCAATCTGCAGTCCATGACTTCAATGAAGTTACTAGAAAGAAGTTTTTAAAAAGCTGTTTTAAAATGGGGGGGAGGGGGAGACACCAAAATTATACACCTAATTCAAAACAAAAGCAAATGCAAAAGCTAGAAGAGAATAATTAAAGGACAGAGTTAAAAGAATCTCAATATACAATTTCAGTGAGGTGCTTTGAAATTATTACCAAGAGTTCAAGTCAACCTTGCCATGGAATGCTACAATGAAGTCACAACTAACACTGCCTGACACTTCAGATCTAAGTTCATTGCACCAGAACTGCAATTTCAGATTCGACGAGCAGTACCAGGAACTGCAGAGAAGCTAACAGCAACACCTACTGACTGTCTTGAGCCACTTGCCAAACTTGTTCTCTCAGTCAACTAGAGAAATCTAATGATACAGTCAACTTCAAGAGTCCTTTACTTAAGCATAATGAGATAAGAAAATAAATCGTCAGCCACATGAAACCATTCATCCCCCAAAAGCTCTTATTTTGCCCCTAACCATTTACATGCAAATCACCACCCAAGTTATTTTAAATGCATTGTTAATTGCTAATGCTTTAGTGGAAATAATTTATTCCATGGGAAAAATGCTTTAATATTAATATTCTTGTTAATAACTGGTATGTCATCTAATAGTTAGAGACATCAGTGACCATAAACTGCTTTATGTAAACCTTTTATTTGAAACTAGTTACCACTGTTCTATATTATTCCCATCAGCTTTCTTTCCCATCCTCGTAAAAATGGCTTAATTGCAGCTTTCAAAAAAGTAAAAAGTAAAAGTCATTAAATCAAGATTATATAAAAATAAAAAATACCGTTACTAAGCTACCGAGAATTGATCCATAGGACTTAATCTTGTACTTTTCCAAAAAATTGAGTCAGAGAATCTTTTCCTAGGACGAATATTCCACATGAGAAAACAGGAGAAAGTTGACACTGAACTCCCACAGAGTACCAGTATAAAACAATGGCTTTAAGAGTCTGAGTCAGAGTTTCAACATGAAAGAGGTTTGCTTTATAGAGGAAACGCCAACCCCAGTTCATCCAGATAGACCTGGAACCTGATGAAAGTCGACACCTTTACTCTGAAATTTGCATCGCATCACTGGCTCCCAGTTCAGAAATATAATCGTTTAGCAGGAAGTAACAATTTCAGTGACTGCTGCCTCCCGTCATGAAAAATAAAATCTATAAGATAAATGCCGTCTAGGAGCCATCAGTCCCCAAATGCTTCCCTTCAAAAGGAATACCAACGACTCTTTCCTGAAAGCGAGCCATTTCCCTCGCCTATGTTTTCTAAACGGTGAACCCGATGCAATTTCAACCTGCCCAACGCGCTCACTAGTCCTCCTAGAAATGCTGAGCGATGGAGAGCCTCGCACATTTCTTTAAGGTCAGGAGGGAAGTTGGAAACAGATGGGGCGCGGGCGGTAAAGTTCTTTCTGCAGCAGCCTCCCGCCTCCCCATCCCTCCTGAGGTGTACTTCAGAGTAGGCGAGAGCATCCCGAAATTTCACTGCCCCCGGACCCCTGGGAGAGAGAGATGTACCATCCGCGGGCACCGAGCTGCTCTTCTCTGCATCTCGCGATTAAACCTCTCGGCCTGGCCCCGCCAGCTCAGCCTACAAAGCGCTCACCCAGGTGACTGAAAGGAAGGCTCTCCCGCGGAGATGATGGCAGCGGGGTGGGCGCAGCCACCCCCACGGGGCGCGGGTCTCCCAGCCTCTCCCGCGGGCGCCAGACGGAGACTAGTGCAGCTTTGGATTCCTAGGTGCGCGCGCGCACGCACGCAGACTCGCCCCCGCCAGGCTGCGGTCTCAGCACGCCACCAAATCGGAAATAAAACTTTGGCCGCCCGGTGTCCTGCGCCGGGTCCTAGACCCGAGCTCCGGCCAGAATGCGGTGGGAGGCTGTCAACAGTCCTGCACCCCCACTTCCCTGACCGGACCAGGGGCGCGGGAGCCACTTACCGCTGGGCCCGGCCTCCGGGGCCGCCGCGCGTCCCGGGCGGGTCCGCCGCGCGCTCTCCCTGGGGAGAAAGAGAAACCGTGGACCGTCGGCGCGCGCCCCCTCGCCGCCGCCTCTGCGGTGAACGGCAGGCGGCGAGCCTGGGCCGGGGCTGGCGCGGAGCTTGAGGGGCTCGGGGGAGGCGGGGGCGAATCAGCCCAACTCCCGAACCGGGCTCCGAGGGGGCCCGGAATGCAGACTGGAGCCGGCGGGGGGCGCGTTCCCGGTGGAGTAGGGGGCGGAGGTGCCCGGTTCCCCGAGCATCAACTATTGTCTGGGCGCACGGGTCCCAGCTCGCGCCGCCTCCAAAGCTCGGCACCCCCCATCCCGCCCGCCTGCCTCGGGAGGTCTAAGAGCTGAGGGGGCGGCCGGCGCGGGAAACGAGTGCGGGGTGTCTGGGGGCCCGAGGTTCAGGGGTCCTAGGTGGGCGCCGGGGCAGGGGAGCTGCGTGCCGAGTGGGGGAGGGGACAGGTAACTGCAGACGGGGGCGCGAAGGCCGGGGAAGACCGGCGGCGGGAGGAAATAGAAGGGGAGCCACGGAGGCAGGAGGGGATGGGTGGCCGGGGCTGGGGGGCGGGGGCGGCCTCTGGAGTCCAGACCTGGCCCTCCCCGGGGACCCTTCTCCCGGGCACTCAGCGCCGCACTGACTTTCGCTCACTCGCTCACGCTCGCACTGAACTCGTTCACAAAGTTGCCGGCGGTGGTGGCGCCGAACTCGCCCTTCCCGTCCCCTCCCCTCCCCGCCCCATTCCTCCCCCTCCCTCCACCCGGTCGCGGTGAGATCACCGCGGAGCTGCCCGGCTCGGCGCGCAAATCTCGCGAGAAAAGCGGCAGCTCTGCCCGGCCGCCGGGGGAAGTGGTAGGAGTTGGGGGAAGGTGGGGGATCGCGGAACTCCTAGTTGCTATGACAACGGCAAAGCCCTGCAGAGAAGCGGCAGCAAACGTGGGTGCAGCTTTCAACCCGCCCCCGCCATTGCCCGACGCCCTAATGGTGGGGAAAGCGAGGACTAGAAGCGGGAGGAGGGTTTTTTAACCTACTCAGAGGACAGCTGGAGAAGACCAGCGTCCTGATAGCTGGCCACATCTGGCGATTGAGGCTAATGGTGTTTTAAGAGGTTCTGGGGTAGATTTCTGCCTTAAAAGTCTGCGCATATCTGTACCCTTATATTTCTATCTTACATATATTCAGTTTTTCGATCACCCGGTCTAATCTCATCCCTCAACCTCCACCCACTCCATTCCCTCCCTCTCTTTCCTTCCCACCCACCCCTCCGTATCGCTGCCACCCCACCACACTGGGCTCCTTGAGGATCTGCCTGACTCATCTTTGTATTCTTTGCGCTTCCACGGGCTTGGTACATATTAGGTATTTACTTAATGTCTATTGGCGTGGGGGGGAGGGGGTGAACGCAACAGTCTGTACCTGTCCTAGTAATTTTCTTTCACACTACCCTGGAAAAATGCCTAGGCTTAGAATAGAAGTTTTTACTCCACAGTTACGTTTTTCAGTCTACTAAACTAACCTCCCAGTTCCGTTCACACAGAATGTGTCTGTTTTTAATAGTTATAATCCCTCCTTTCTCCATATTTGTTTCATAAAAACCCTAATCACCAGGGGAGGGGGGACATTTTATTTTAATCACTAAGCTTCTTCAGACGCCTTTATACCTACTCCAAAATGCTGTTAAGGATGAACATGAAATCTTTTCAAATCTAGTTTTTAATTTTAGAAACTTTTCTGTGGAGGTTTTATATCCCCACTGCCTAAATAAAATAGATACCTTTATTTTAAATTTAGTGTAAATATCAATTTTTACTCATTCATTTTGATATTGAAGGGGCTTGCTCATGACTTTTATATTTACACTAAATATAAATAGAAGTTAAGTTTAAATTTCAATATCAAAATGAATGAGTAAAAATTGATTTCATGGTATCTGAATTAAATGTTTCTCTCCTCTCTCTAAAATCAGTAATAAAGATTAAGAAAAAAACTTTAAAAAATAGATTCCATCCCTATTTACATCAATATGGAGAACCATTATTTAACCTAATAGAACTAGAAACCTAAAAAAGTACATTGTCTCTTTTAGGTTACATGCAAACTTAAGTGCTATTTGGATGAAAGTTTTTATATTAGAAACCTAGTGATACGGTGATAAAAAGCACTAGAAAAGGTCAGGAAACTAGCATATCACTAATAATTGAGGCTCCTTGAGAAGTTATTTAACCTTTCTGATTCTTCACTTGTAAAATGAGGGGTAGCCCAGACGTTAGGGCATTACAGCTTTAAAAATCTATAGCTCTTAGACTTAGGAAAGGTTCCAATAAATAACAGATATTTTCCTTTTACATCAAACAGAATAAAAAAAACTGTTTCATTTTCTAGGTCAACTTCACAAAGTTTAGCTACATGTTGACAAGTTGATTTTAAAGTTCTCTTGTCTCAAGTATAAAAACAACAAAAATATTGACCACGCTACAGTAATTTCCATTGAGAATCCAAAGAGAATCCATTGTTCCTGGTTTGCTTTTACACTAACTCAAAACAGATTACTTGTTATTTAATAAATATGACAGCTCAAACCAAAAACCCAAATTGAATACATCCATACCCCCACCAAAATAACTTTAAGAAGAAAGGAGGGAGGGAGAAAGGGAGACTGGTGTTTTGTTTGTTCTTTAATTGATTTTTAGAGAGAGACAAAGGGAGAGGGAGAAACATCGATGTGAGAGTGAAACATCCATTGGCTGCCTCCTGCATGCCCCCCACGGGGCATTGAGCTGGCAACCCAGGCATGTGCCCTGACGAAGAATATAACTGGCAACCTGTGAGCCCAGGATGACACCCAACCATCTGAGCCACACTGGCCAGCGCCAGATTGGTATTTTTAGTATCAAAATTTTACACAAATGGAGCATCACCATCAAGCTGTTGATCTGTTTTAAGGAACCATCTTTCATAGCATAGCAGACAACCAGTTGTTCATATGCTCTGGCTCAACTTTTAACATAATTTTGCCCTTAAAGGATGGTTGCCAATCTATATCCACCAGATAGTACAATTTCAGGGCCACCTGTTTTATGACTCCCAGAGGGCCATTTGATACATTTGAAATAATTGATCCAAGTGCTAGCCAAATCTATTAACTTTATTCAGTGCTTCTTATGAGGCTCAAGAGATGGGTACTGGCCTCAAATTACAAAGATAACTTCCCTAACCTTCAGGCGTAGAATAGTAGAAACTGTTCCAGAGAAAAACTGCTCTTTCAAGGCCCTGGACTACTATTTATCCCTCATGGGCAGAACTTTCACTAGTACTTCTGGAGGAAATAAAAGGCAAAAAATCCACTAAAGTTAAGGTTCCAACTGCACATTTTCTGGGTCAGGGACTTCTGTATCCTCCCTGACCTTCCAGAGGTTTCAAAATAACAGACAAGGGGCAGCAGAAGAGGGAAATGAGGAGTAGAGAGTTTGCCAAGGACAGATTAGATCTCAACCCCCTCCCGCCTGCTCCCTTTCTTGGCTCCTCTATCTCTGCACAACCCCTCCACACACAGCTAAGGGATGTGTAACACTTCCTAGCGATAAGGTGAGCATCCAGTCATTTACCGTCTTATTTCCTGTTCAGCTGAATTAATTTCCCTCTGGTTATTCACGTCTACTCAACAACACACCCTAGCATATCCAATATGAAAAGAATTTTGACACCGACGCCTACCAAGCAAGGAAAATTGATATTTTTAATAACATAAACATCAATTCACAGCTGCATGTTTTGCAATTAAAGTCTGGTTTGTCCATCCTATTATCATAAAATCAGGATTTCCTGTTACTAGCTATACATCTACAGGGCATTATTAACTAATACAGAAAAAATGACTCCTAACTATTAAAAAAATGCCCCCAAATCATCAAAGATTAAATTTTACCCAATGTTGTTTCAATTTTTTAAAAAATATGTTTTATTGATTTCTTTACAGAGAGGAAGGGAGAGGAATAGAGAGTTAGAAACATCGATCAGCTGCCTCCTGCACACCTCCCATTGGGAATGTGCCCACAACCAAGGTACATGCTCTTGACCGGAATCGAACCTGGAACCCTTCAGTCTGCAGGCAGACACTCTATCCACTGAGCCAAACCAGTTAGGGCTCAATTTTTTGTTGTTTTATTGTTTTAACCCTCTGTATGTAACTCTATTTGCCTGAATAGATTTCTTAAAACAATTCATTCTCCCATCTTCATAACAGTATTTATGACATGTTTAAAACATCAACTACTTTATAATTAATTAACATTCCTCAGCAAAGATACTACACTTTCTTGTCCACTCTCCCACTTCCCTAAAGGACTATTTCATACCTTCTCCTCCTCCATCAAACCTCCAGTTTATTTCTCACAGCTAATGGTCCTGTTTTTCTTTTTTTTTAACTTACATTTTCACTGATTTCAGAGAGAGGAAGGGAGAGGGAGAGAAGGATAGAAACATCAATGATGAGAGAGAATCATTGATCGGCTGCCTCCTGCACACCCCCTGCTAGAGAGTGAGCCTGAAACCATGGCATGTGTCCTGACCGGGAATTGAGCCATGACTTCCTGGTTCATAGGTCAATGTTCAACCACTGACCCACACTGGCGGGGCTGGTCCCCAGTTTCTAAAAGCAATCAGAAGAGAACTTAGCACACACTCCCTCTCTACCAATCTTGCATCTGCTGCATATACCCTTCTGTCCTGTTGCTCACAGTGAACGCTCAGCGCTCATGGTGAACATTAACCTCTCTCCCTGTGCACTAGTCCCATCCCCTCTGACTCAGGGACATGGATTCAGGAAATTGTCCCTCTCTCTCTTGCATCAGGAAAAATTCCCTCTCCATTGAATCATTTTAAGAGCTTACAAGCATGCTGTAACACTTTTCATGGTAAAAAAAAATAAAACATTTTTTAGATTCCATATCTCCCTTCACTTTATCACTGAAATCTTCAAAAAGTTTTTCCACACCTGCTTTCATGTCTTCAATTCCTCTCCTCCCATCTCTTGAGTCCACTCTGAGCAGCCTTTCAGACCCACCACTCCAGGGAAAGGGTCACTTCTCGGGCCCTTAGTGACTGCCTCGTTGCTAAATCCAGTGGTCATTTCCCATCCTGACCTCAACCTACAGCTCAGTAGCAGGGAAGAAGTTGACCACTCTCATCCTTGAAACACTTTCTTCACACGGCTTCTGTGTTAAGAGACTGAGAAGCCCTGGAAGGCCCTGGGGCAGAGAAGTGACCAGAGCTCCTCATCTCACTCAGAGAAAAAGCCCAAGTTCCTAGTCTGCTCTAGAGATCTGTCTATTATCTCTGACGCCTATCTAGAGCTCTGGTCTCATCTCCCTCCTCTCAGCCTCCTCTCTCCACCCCAGCCACACTGGTTTCTCTCTGTTCCCTGAATACACCAGGCACTCCTGCCTCCAGACCTTGCCTTTGCTGTGCCTCTGTGGCTCATTCTCTGAGTTCCATTAGGTGTCTGTTCAAAAGTCACTGTGTTAGTCATTTGCCTGCTTGCTCTCTGGCAACCTCTCTTCTCCTTTCCATATTTTGCAAGGGGGGCTGACATCCCCCCAACTCCACCCTGGGTTGTGTTTCCCAGGCTCCTCTATCAGGAGCTCACTGCTGGGTTTAGCCAATGTGTAAACGCTTTGTAGGCGGGATATGTGTCTTGTTCACTCTTAAATCCCTAATGTCTAGCATAGTTCCAATCACAAGCAAGACACTCACTACGTTTGTGGAATAAACTAATGAACTCTAATAACAGTAGAATCAGAATTCCCATCCTGATCAGGTGGTGAAATCACTTAACTGGCTTTACCTGACGTCAGAAAGGGAAGAACACACTTTGCTGTTAGGAAGCCTCCTTGAGCTTTTTGAGCCATGAAGATACAGGGGCCCAGGGCAGGGAGACAACCCAGGGTGCAGGCATCAATGTCAGCCATAACAATGGGGGCTTTGTCTGATATGTTGAGGATTTGGGGCCTTATTCTGTAGGCAATAGGGAGCCATTGAAGGATTTCAGCCAGGCAGAAACATATTCAAATTTGTGTTTAGTAGGGATAGCACACTTAAAACATGAGGTTTTGAAATTCATGGGTCAGAGAAGAGGTCAGAAGTAGAATCGTAAATGTAGGAGCCAGGAGCTTATTGTTGCTGACATATTTTTGCATTTTGCTAACATTTTCATGAAAAACACTCACAAATTTTCTTTCCTTCTCACAGGTATCTTCTTTTGAAATATTCCACTGAGCTATAGTACAAGCCATTCCTGGTTTTCTGATGATTTTCTTATTAATATGGGCTCAATAAACATCCCATGGCTTACTAGTCCTTTTATTTTTTAATTTTAAATCCTCACTTGATATGTTTGGGTTTTTATTATTATTATTGATTTGAGAGAGAGAGAGAGGTGAGAAACATTCATAAGTTGACTACCTCACTCACCCTGACCAGGGGTCAAACCCACAACCCAGGTATGTGCCCTAACTGGGAATCAAACCCGTATCCTTTTAGTGTACGGGACAACGTTCCCACCAACTGAGCCACCTGGCCAGAACACCAATCCTTTTGACCTTTCTCTATGTAGGCACCAGCACATACTAGTCCAGCTTTAATTTTTAAAGAATTATCTGAAGCACTTAAACATATTTTTATTCATCCCTCCAATCGTACTTCCTTTCAGGGAGTTCTTTGCACTGTTTAAAATAACTTGAATATTTTCCTAGGAGCTGGAATTTTCCTTCCAAGTAACCTTCCTTTCATCAGATTTCATAGTCGAGAATGTGTCAGGGAAGGAAGGTGGGGAAAAGATCTCTCTCCACTCCCTTGTCTTTTTTAAATCCCTAGAAATGAGAAGAGGCTTGCTCATGACTTAGAAGTGGTGGGCTGAGGCCTTCTAGAGCCATCTGGTCGGTTCCATTGCCAGCCTGGGGCCAGGCGGCATTCCCGAGAACCAGGAGCTGCAGGGCGCTGGCGTGGCAGCTGCTTAGTGGCATCCGAGGAGAGCGCAGCGCGAGTCTGCGGGAGAAATCAAACCTTGCGTGTTCCTGAGTGCAGGAAACATGTAATGAGGGTGTCCGTTCATGGGCATACCAAGGAGCATGACTGGAATGTGAAAGCCTTCAGAGCCTCTATTTAAGGAAAAAGAGGGGGAAATGAACATGCTGATACTTCATATGTATTTTAGGACCTTAACACAGCTCAGCACTCACCCTGAATTTTTACAAATCACTTTTCAGAAATTAAAGCTCTTAAAAGTCTCTTTCCATTATTTCTTTTCATTTGGAGGGTAGTGATGAGTATATCTACTTAGGTATGAGAAATAGCCAAGGCCAGTACATGTAACTTTTTATATATCCTACAGATACACCAAGAAAATATCACCCAGTGACATGGAAGAAAATCTACTAGACCTTAGGTTCTGGCTTGGGTTTCTGGACTCAAACTCAACCAGGTCAACTCTAACTTTAATAAAGTTAATTAATTTTTCTGGACTTCTCTTTCTTTACATGGAAAAGGAGAAGACTGAGGGCCCATCCTTCTAGACTAAATATTTGTATTTGACATGTTGCCATCTTTCAGGGATCTATAGTATGCTCTTGGTCAGGAATCTGAGATCTGAAAAAGAAAAAGTTTCCTGAATCTCCCTCCATTCCTAGCACCTCTTCTGCCCCATTCCCATGTGCCCATTCCACAAACCCATCTCAGACATCAAGGGCAACCATTAGTCATGCTAGCAGGGTGGAGAGGGGTAGACACCCATGATCAATTCTCAGTCACCTCCTTCCTAAAGAACTCTCCTGGTGGCTGTAGTTGGCGATGCTACAATGGATATGGATCATTGCTTGTGGCATGGCCAGCCATACTAGCTGCCCTGGTGGCTCGGGACTGTGGCACCCAGCTGCTCCCACCTCTCCTAGTGTGGCTCCAAGCTACTGGATCCCTGGCTTGCTGGGCAGTTACACATTACTTGTTCCATACTTCCTCTAGAGGGCAGCACAAATCACAGTCCCTGCCAAGTAGGTGCTGACAACTCAAAGATGCAGGACTGGTTTGCAGAACTCATTCTAATCCCTCTAGCCTGGATTGATATTCTGGGAGCAAGAACAAAAGTGTCACACCCACTGGTCTTCACCTGAAGGCATTTCTGCATGGTGGAATCAGCCCTCGCCTGATATCCCATTTCCACCTCCATGCTTAGTAGCCCTGTGGTTTGGGGAAAAGTTATTTAACCTCTCTAAGCCTCAGTTTTCTTACCTTTAAAATAATTAATAATAATAATAATAATAATAATAATAGATTTTTAAACACATGGTTGTTTTGAAGATTAAGTCAGATAACACATGTTTTGTTAGACTCTGTGGATTGGCTACCTAAAAGCCATCCACACCCCCTTTTCTCTTGGCCTCATTCTTTCCAGACTTCCTTGAAGCCTCCAGAACTAGTTTACACAGAACAGGAACTTTATTCTAAAAATTATGAGTTCCAACAGATTCCCAGGGATAGAAATATAATACCACCCAAACTCTCTCCATCACTCATGTACCCCTCTCTCGGCAACTGCCTCTATAGCATTCTTCTCTCCTTCTGTAGAAAGCTTTCCTTGACTCTTTTGGTCCACATAGGGAAAATGCCTCCTGGGTTCTTTCCGAACTCAAACATCTTCTAAGTTTACAAAATACCTGGAGAGGAAAGGACCTGCCTGACCCAGCTTTGGATCAGGTGCCTGCCTCTAGACCAGTCAGCTGTGACCAAGAGTCCAGGCCTTGTTGTATAAAATGGCGCAGAGGAACCATGACAAGTCTGCGAGGGTGGCAGTTCCCAGAGAAGAGGGACAGCAGGCAGCAATAAATGTGTAGGGTGGAGGAGTTACATAAGAGGTATAAGACTAGGTTTTAGCCCTTATGGAGATTATCATGTAGTTGGGGAACATTAAGAAACATTAAGTCTTCAGTTGAAATTGATTTTGAGCCCTGGCCAGTGTGGCTCAGTTGTTTGAGCGTCATCCTGTGCACCAAAAGGCTGCTGGTTCGATTCCTGGTAGGGACATGCAGGAGGCAACCAATCAGTGTTCCGCTCTCACGTGGATGTTTTTCTCTCTCCTTTCCTCTCTCTTTAAAAATCAATTTAAAAATTGTTATTAAAAATTGATTTTGATGGTGAAGGGAATAATATTTTTAAAAAACAACTCCAAAAACAATCAACAGTGGTAGAAGGAATATTGTGCTTCTTTAGGTCCAATCAATGAAGCCCAATGCAATGCTGGGTGTGGCATGCAGGCACTGCCCTTCCTTCTGCCTTGGAAGAGAAGAAATAAATGCACTTATTCAAAATAAAAGATGGCTAGGAAACAGGCCTAGTCAGAGAGGGGAAAAATTTAAAGTGGAATCTATCTGCCCTGGGCAAGAATTAATGGAATTAAGCCAGGAAGGGGGATTTACTATACACATGAAAGAGGTTACAAAATAAGGCAGGATTAAGTAGCATAATTAGAGGCTATGAAAAAGAGATCAAGAAGTTTGGCTCTATGAAGCCAGTAGATCTTGGCCCAGTGGTAAAGAAGACGGAGGGGGCTGGGGCATTCCTGGAGGCATACGGTGAACAAAGGAACTCAGGTTGGAGTGCACGTGCAAGGGAGCACAGAGCAGCGGTCCTTAAACTGAGGGATGCACAATGAAAGCACCCAGAGTGCCTGTAAGATGCAGATTCCTGGGCTCCTGGTGCAGAAATTCCCATATAGTTGGTCTGGAGTGGGTCCCAGTATTGGACATGTTTAATGAGCACCTCGGGGTTGTGCCTCAGGGGGTCTGCCGAGCCCAGCTTGAGAAGCACAGGTGTCTACACTGGTGCTGCCTACTGGGCAAAAGAAATGGCTTTTCCTTTTGAGTATGTGTTCCCTCGGTGACAGCAGCTACCAGACTCTGAAGTCTCTTCTGACGGCCCAGGAGAGCTGCTTTCAGCCAGTGCCATTGTGGCAACCTCCTGGGCTCCTTCAGTCCTCCATCCCCAGAGGGGCCCCTTGGTCACCAGCTGATCTGACCTTCAGCCTGTCACTGTGAGGCAGTGACACCACCTCAAGATGCAACAGAAGCTGTCTAGATGCTGCATCCTTCTTAGACAGTGTTGCTGTTTATGTCTCCCTAATTCAATCACTTGTCTTTCATGATCTAACCACAGGTAATATTTGATATAAACTTAATAATCCGCATTTATATAATAGTAAAAGAGTGTTTTTTATCTTAACTTTTTAAAAAAGAGGTTGATTTTATCTTAACTTTTTAAAAATTGTTTGTTTTTAAAAAGGAAGAGTTACTATCCTAAACTTCTCAAGGGTTGGTACTATTTATGAACCATGCAGTTGTCTTTTTCTTTCTAAGCCACTTTTTATCTCCTCTCCTGTAATTCAACCCACATAATTTCTACTAAGATATTATTTTACAATAAGAAACAGAGTTAAGAATAAGTCAAATCATTTTTAAGGTGTTAGGACTGAAACTAAGGTTTCTTAACACCCCACCCAAGAGTTTTTCTTATTAAGGCATTATGTTGTCATTATTTTATTCTTTTTTAAATGTCTTTATTGATTAAGGTATTACATATATGTCCTTATCCCGCCATTACCCTCACCCCCCCACACTCATGCCCTCACCCCCTTGTTGTCTGTGTCATTATTTTATTCTTAAATTGTTCCCTTCAGTTGTTTTCAGAAAAAAATTAAAATGCTAATGTCTTCCAGTCACTTGAACCAGAAATCAAAGTACACACAGATAATTAGTTCTTCCTTCTCTGCTCAAACTTTTATATATGTATACACACACACACACACAAATATATATATATTGATTTCAGAGAGATGAAAGGAGAGAGAGGGACAGAAGCATCAGTGATGAGAGAGAACCCTTGATCAGCTGCCTCCTGCAGGCCCCCTTACTGGAGATCAAGCCTGCATCCCAGGCATGTGCTCTGATGGGGAATTGAACTGTGACCTCCTGGTTCATAAAGTCGACGCTCAACCACTGAGCCACACAAGTCGGGCCGCTCAAATTTATCTTATACTTCATCCCATCCCCAGTCTGATTTTTGCAACCATATTTTACTGGACCTACCATTAGGACGAGAAAGGAAAGGCATCTGTTTTGTCATTTAGTCAGGCGGTTATCACTCCACCATAAAAATGAACAGTTTTGGGGTCTTCTATTTAATTTCCACCTAATCCCATTCTGTTAGAAATGTTATTTCTGCTCAGTGGTTAACTCTTCTAATAACCAGAAGAAAGAACTATGATTACTCCTATTTGAAATCTCTGTGTCCTGAGGTTGGTCTGGGTCTCTGGTCTACATTACCCAGGAGTACACAAGATGAGAACACAGTATTTATTGGACCATGGCCATCGGTAGTGAATTAGCCGAACTTTTCTTGCATGTGTACCATCCCACTCTAGTCAGGTGAACAACAGCTCTCAGTACACAAGCTGATTTCTGGGGTTCTGAATAATATACACAAAGCCTCCTCCAGGATTGTGTTCTGATTACTTCTCATCATATAACAAATTACCCTAAAACTTAGAGGCTTAAAACTACGGCCATTTTATTATATCCCATGATTTTGTGGCTCACGGAATTCTGGCAGAGCCCAGTCAGGTGATTCTTCTGTTCCGAGTGATGTCACGCTGTTAGTCTGGAGTCTCTCCTTGCAAGTCTGCACCTTGGTAGGGATGGGTGGAAGGCTGAACTTTGCTGGCAATGCCTACTGGCTTCTTCAGCAAAGTAATCTCAGGGCAGCCAGTCTCACCTGGCAGAGCTTCCAGAGTGTTCTGAGGCACAGAAGACCTGGGCCCAGCTGGTTTGGCTCAGTGGTTGAGCATCGATCTATGAACCAGGAGGTTCTGGTTTGATTTTCAGTCAGGGCACATGCCTGGGTTTCAGGTTCTATCCCCAGTAGGGGGTGTGCAGGAGGCAGCCAATCGATGATTCTCTCTCATCATTGATGTTTCTATCTCTCGCCCCCTCTCCCTTCCTCTCTGAAATCAATAAAATAAAATAAAAATCTTAACAACAACAACAACAAAGACCTGGGCCCAGAAATGGCACACTGTCACTCCTGCCATATTTTATTGGTCAAGCAATTACATCTCTGCCTGTGCAGTAAAAGAGAGAAATAGTAAAGAATATGTGGCCATCTTTAATCCCTCACAGAGGTTGTTCACCAAATATTTGTAGAACTTGTCGTAAGGTCCAGGCCCAGTGGAAGACTCTGGGAGCGAGGAAAGCTCACTCACTCCCTGCCACTAACAAGCCCACAGCCCGGAGGAGAAGCTGGCGTGTTTATACTTCCTACTCATGATCTTTCAGGAACTCCCCAAAACAACAAATCAGTGAGATCAGGAATGAATTTTAGAAGGAGATTAATGTTAAAAGTAAAAGAGAAAAAACCCCATTGTCTAATGATCTC